CCAAGCTATGATCGGTCTTCCTTCGAAGCAATGATAGGAACGAAATAAAGTAGCCAATCGTGTTATTGACGGTAACAACACGGGTGGAAGATCGCGTCGAGAAGAAGAGAGAAGGTAATGAAAACATGTCCACGGAAGCACGACGAACTAACGAGTAAATTACAGGGCGGCTGGTGGCGCGGCTGCCGGGCGGAAGAATCGCTTGCCCTCGCAGATCGGTCCATCAGATAACTTTCAACGCCATTAATGCTATACGGCTGTTTACGAGGCAAACGCGACGCAACGTTGAGTTCATTGTGTTGCCTGGGTCCAGGACAGAGCTCCGATTTCGATGGCCTACGCGATTCCCATCGATTTTTCGCGGTGGGCACCGTTCGAACCTCGTTTAAATCGGATTTAAAAGAGAAACACTTTAGTACACTTTTATCTCGATGTCAAGAATCCTTACACGAGGCAAAAGAGGAACAATACACTTCGTACTGTATTATTGTTAAGGATTGTGTGCTTTACGGTAAACTTAAGTTCTCTTTATCCTTAAAGAATGCTATCAGTATTGAGTGACATAATAATGGCTATCGATACGTAAATTTTAACGTACAAGGAAATAGGCTATTCTTAGTTAATGTTATACAAAACATTCGCGCTTTTAATGACAAAATATTTTTATAAGCTAAATAAATCTTTATAAATAACAAATATTATTTCCAAATTTATATCTAGCTAAATTTTTTAATATTTTAGCAATATCGTCCTTTTAGTGTACATCATTTTTTTTTCTACGAATAAATCTATCGGATTTTTTGCTCTTTTATCAGTAAAGTGGTTTGACTGCGATGTCGAACGATCGGTCGCGCCGATGAAATTTTGTCACATTTACATCCTGTGTACAGTATCGACGGTTTCTCCGTGACAGTAAAATTCCTTTTTTTCAGAGCCATATTTCTGAATAATCGATAAACGCGCAAAGCTCATCGGACATGCTAATACCGCGAGGTGGAAAAAATTGCGCGTATCATTTAAAAGTATGCTTCGTCCTCGCGTAAACTATGCGTATATTTTCATCGAATTTCAATGAGCGATGTTATATGCGCGTCGTCCCTCGACGTGTAAAAGTGCGCTACGTAAATCCGCTTATGCCGTCGCACTGCATCCGTGTGACACTTGTCCGTATATTTCGTGAAAATATCATTTGCCTAAAGCGATAACGAAGTGACGAGTATCACTTTGGCATGTGAAGGACACGCGCGACACCTTGTGCCTATAAGTAAAGAACTGCAGTTTTGCTGAAGCATCGAAAAATTTAGCTATAGACACAGATCTGAAAATAATCTCGTTGAACTATCAAAATAATTATATAGGATGCTCAAGCTGGTTGTTAGAATCCCATGTAGGGATTCTAACAGCCTAGAAACCAATGCTTAGTCAACGCTACGAGTGTCGACTGAGCCAAGGCTCTAGGCCTGTTCTTTTTCAAAGAATTCTGGACTAGTCCAGTTAGTGCAACAAGTTAGATTGAAACAAACTACAGCTGTCTAACTCTAATTTATGCATCAGTGTACTCCAGTTCAGAACTAGGTGGGGAAAGAATGCTTTTGTCAACCAGTACTGGGCCGTCACTGACAAATGACTGGCTATAATGACTGGGCCAGTACTGTTTGTCAGTACTGGGCCCAAATTATCATCCAGTACTTGTTTGAACCAGTAATTTACCAGTACTGCACCAGTACTTGAATTGTGGCAACTAATAATGACCCAGCACTGAGCCGATTGTAAAATCCTACATGGGATATCAAAATTTTTACAGAATTGCTCTTATTATGTTTTGAGTTTCCTGTAATTCTGTTGATGTTTCCAACAAAATTATTTTTAGATCTGTATCTAGTTACATACTTCAAATACTTCAGCAAAATATCGTTCTTTCCGTGTAACTTTTACGCCAATTTAATTATATCTTTCTTCTTTCTTCTGGCGAATTACTCTTTACAGCTTAGATTTTTGTGATCAATATTATTAATTCCTCGTGCAAAGATCGTATTGCTATCTTTTATCTCGACACTTTCGATGTCATTTCATTAACTTTTGCAATTGGCAAATATACTTTTATACTTAGCGTTTTTTCTTATACGATAAATCAATGTTTGGTCATAATCTATACGAAGTAAATACTCTCGAATAAAATTTAAATGGCGATAGAAGCTTTATGTTACAAACATTTTCTACATTTTAAAAAATACGGATATAAAAGTCTGAATTTGACTTTCTTTCTTTTGTTTCTTGATCATTCAATTGCATACTTCTGAATTTTTTATTGCGTGATGTCGTTTACAAGTTATCGTGCAATCGTATTTATCATCAAGTAGTCGAGCGAACGAAGTTATTTTACAAGCTTCTTCTAAATTTTAAGGCAAGAAAAATATAGAATTCCGAATTCAATTGACCTTTTTTCCTTGATCATCTGATCGTATTCTAGACTTGGAAATTTTTTATTACGTCAACGTTTAGAAATTACCAGAGTTGTAACAAATTCCTCATCCTAAAATTCTATAACTTTTCCTTGATTTTCAGACAAAATTTTATGATTTTCTCTGATTTCAATAATATTTTGAAACTTTTAGAACTTTCATCCTGATTTGAAAACCCTCAAATATTTTATTGAGAAAGCAATTTAATATATGGCAACGTAAATATTATTAATATTGTTGACACCGCTTTTATTTAATTGTTAAGTTGGTAGTATTCCTGCGTAAGTGTGATGTACACATATTTATTTTAAATCCAAGAATTTTAATTTTCCAAAAAATATTGCAAAATTCTCTGACTTTTCCCTGGTTTCCTTAGTCGTTCCTAATTTCTCTGATTTCCAGTTTTGTGGCAACCCTGATTATGTAAATCGCGCAATCGTATTCACCGTCGTATGGTTGGAGAATCGAGCGATCCGTCGCGTTAAAGTGGGCCCGCTACTTTCGTGACAACGCATACGTGACATCCTAATTTATTCAAAAAAAATTCCGAAGTGTGTATCACGATGATCGTTCTGACGTCTCTTTTGAATCATATTCTTTGAAAAACAGGGAGACACAGGGAGGGAGCAATTCATATTCGGTTATGTGAGTATCTGGTAAAAGATCTGAAAGACACGGCACGTTTCGAAGTAGCAGCTACGGTATCTCGGCGATCGCGTCTGTTGCCATTAGAAATGCTCGCGATACACTTCAGTATATTCAAGTACTCGATTACTACCGACGGTAAAGTATCGATTATTTTAATACAGCGATACGAGCCGAGCATTCTTTATGTATGTATATGTTTATGTATACGTGAATGTGTACCGCTTATTTCAATAAAATAGAGTCTAAAAATCTGAAAGACGGTGCTGAAAATTATGATGTTCGAAAGATTAAACGAAGATGTTAACAGATTATTACAGTACTTTTTAATCCGTCCGTGGATTTATTTTCACAAAATGCTAATTGTTAATTGCAAAATTAACTTTGTAGATAATAAGAAATACATGTATACATCTGCTTTTTTGCAATGCAAATATTTAAAAAGAAACCAGCCAAAAATGATATAATATTAAAATAATTTTATTACTAATTAATTCATTTACATTACTGATACGAGAATGAGTAATGTAAATGAATTGATTAGTAATAAAAAATTAATTAGTAATAAAAATCAATTATATAAATATAATTGATTTTTATTACTAATTAATTTTTATAAAATCTTAATAAATTAATATAAAATTATATAAAATCCTTTGTATTTATTTTTAAATTCTGAGTAAGTTTTATCTTACAATTAGCTGAATTTTTCAATGCAGGATTTATTTATTTCAGTATTTGATGTCAAAAAATAAGTTACAAAATATAGTGCGTGATCAGATTTTTGTTAAATAGTCAATACATTTGTTAAATAGTCCATACAATTTTAAATTTCATTTAATGAATAAATTTGATGTTCAAATTTTATAATACTTGTTAAGAGCGTCTTATATATAATTATTTTAATGATTCAACAAAATTATTTTCAGATATGTATCTAGCTAAATTTTTTATTATAATATTTCAGCAAAACCTTCCTCTTCGTATAAATTTCGTGTTTATATTTTATTGATTTAAGGATATTCTGTGCAAACTGTTCCTCATTAAAGTCACGCTTTTTTTAAACTGTGAAAATAATATACATACTAAAGCGTTTCACTTCTACCTCCACATGTGACGTAGTTATTCCGGTCAATATTACTCAACGTTCCACGTATTTTTAACTTGGATTATAGCGAATTAAATTTCATCGGACGCACAAATTCGCTATTTTACTCGACTCTGTAATCTCGCGCTATATTTTTGAACCATGTGAAATGCGACGGGCACGTGATTACGTGCTCAACGCGAGCAATTTTATCGTTCTGTCGACGACGCACGGCGTGATATCCCTCGGAAATCCTAAATGACATAACAAAATAAATGCAAAATCGCTTCGAGCGGTCGAGTGGTACTCTCGAAACGAAATATGATGCGGATGCGAGGATTTATGCGGCTTCCGCGATATTTCTCATTTAAAGCCATTTCATTTCGGATTGGTCGACACTACATGACGCGACATTTTCGTCGAGTGCGGACTGTCATTGTTTTAAAATCGCTGGAATCATCCGAAGACGCGATGGCATCTCGATATCGAATGCACGAAATAATACGCTTGACATCCGATTGCATCGGTCGCGATTATGAAAATTTTGGTGTGATTTTTTCTAGCCAAAATAGCTCACAAACACTTTTTACTATATACATAATATATTTTATTACTTTCGATATCATCTATAACAATACATTGCGCATTAGTTTTCAACAATTAAATTTCTTGACCAGGGAATCACAATTTCTTATTCTATCTATATAATTTCATGACAATAAATAGATTCAAAGATTATATAAACTATGCAATATATGCGTGTATCACTTAACGATTATTACAAACAAATAGCGTTTATGAATTCCTTAGACATAATAGAAGTCATCGACATGGTGCGTCTTCGCGAAATTCGTAATATTATATTCAACGTACGTTTCACTTTCGAAGCGGTTTGCACAAGACTTCGAAATTTGCGTAATTACCTGATTTTGGGCGTTTTGCTCAGCCATGGCTTTTTCTTTCGCTTGCCTCTTACATTTATACCGATGATTTTGGAACCATATCTTCACCTGTAAAGCACATATAAAACGCACAATTAAGTCTTTATTAAATACAGCAATACTAATATTAAAATCTATATGTTTTTACATTAAATGTAAATGGATCTTTCATTGAAAAGAAACAGACTTTTTCCAACTCTTTTAAATTATCCTTACATCTTTGATAAAAGGATTAGACAGGAAAGAAAGAAACGGTTTTACTGAAATGTCTAAAAATGTAGCTAGATATAGAATTGAAAATAATTTTGCTGGACTATCAAAATAATTATGTAGGACGCTCAAACTGATTGCTAGAATATAAAATTTTTTATAGCATTTTTTTTAACGTGTATGAATTTTCTATATAATTATCTTGATCCAGCTTGATCCAACAAAATTATTCTTAGATCATCTGTATAATTTCAACCAAATTATTCTTTCCATGCAATACAACGACATATTCAGAGGAGATATAACCGAATCAGAAATTTTAATTAAAAAGATTAAATTTATTTAAAAATAAAAATATAATATATTATCATCTATGGAATAAGAATCATAAATAAGTCAGAAAATTTCGTTATGTAAAACATATATGCGAATCTATATAGAAACATATTGTATAGTGGAGAGAACAGGCGCGATGTTTGGGACACTCTATGAACATTCTATGAAGTTCTTTGAAGTAAAACCTAAAATCGACCGCGTTGAGTTGCTCTTTATGTCGAAATAAAACGGACGACATATCTCGTATGCGAACGTAGACCCTTGGATGTTTTTTCAGAGACGAAGGCACGAGCCTTTGTCAGACGCATTTTGAATCAGTCTCTAGCTATTCTCTATTCCGATGCTCTAAGTCCGTAATCCACGGTTTAGAGAACTGTGTTATTTCTTCGAGGGGAATTTAACGCCTCGTTCACTTTATGCGGATACTCAGTGTTGAGGAGGAAAATAATACGAGTTTTATGTATTATTTTTATCGGAAGAATCACCGAGAGTCTCTCAATTCTATTGTGTGAATTTTAGGTGAGGATTGGATCTCAAAAATAATCTCATGGAATCACAATTGTTTGTCTCTTGCGAAAAACAGCAGTGATCGGTACTTAGAAATTCAAAATCTTGATCAAAATATATCTTTAGTCTCACATCTGCATAATGATACATAAAAAGATGTTCCAAAATTAATAAAGACCCCTAACCATTTTACCACTCACATTTTTTTTAACAAAGTTAATATTCTTCTTAAATAAAAATGTTGAAAGAGGAATAAATCTTAATAACAATGATTTATCTATTTTTTTTAGCAATACATTCTATTGTTGTCCATTTCTATGTAGATTAACCTTAATTTCGGTTTAATTTATTTTTTACTTTTTCCTAATAACTCAGAACTAGAAAAAGATAAAAAGCAAGTTAATCTATACATTGATAGAAATGGACATTATTAATAAATTATTGTTACTATCTATTCCCCGTTCAATATTTTAATTAATAATAACTTGTTTTTATTCGGATATTTGAAAATAAGAATATATAAAAATTAAATACTGTAGGTACATATATTACTAAACTTATATTTATATCGATGTTATTTTACATATGTTTCGTGATAACAAAACCTGTTAAAAAATTTAATCAAGCGGTAAGATATGTTTTGGGTTATAAAGCCTGCCTCGGATGCGATCGAGCCTCTATGGATCGTACATAATGCATATAGCGCGGATTATAACGCGCTTCTGTCATAAGCAGATGTCGATCTCGATTCCGTCCAGACGACTGCACAACTTCCACGATCGCTTAGCTCAATTGCCGTAAAAGCAGTCTCGAGCGACCCTAATCGCACGCGACTGTTCCAACTGAAAACTCAAAAGCTACCTTCCTTTCTTCTTCTCTGGATAAACCAGGCAACAAAATTCATCGACTAACTCTTGTTATATCAATAATTGAGATATACAGAATTTTTCTTCGAACTGAATTCTTCGGTCAATTTTAAATCAATCGTCTCTTACAAAAATATCAAGAGTTTATCATTTTTTAAACTTTTTATTGTATTAATTTTCCTGTGTTTTCAATGTTACATATATTTAACGAATAAATGTTAAATTAAAAATCAAGCGAATTAGGTCTATTTAAAATTAATTAAGAAATATAATTCATATTCATTATAACACATTTATTCATTCGAAGCTTAATTTTCAAAAAGTCTTATATTCAGATGATAAATTAAATTTCAAAAAGTACAACAAAAATCAACCCCCTGAATTAAATTTAAGAATATTTTTGTCGACTGTTCGTTTCTCTATCTTGTGATGATCTCGTAGAAACTGTTATTTCTGAATGTTATTTTCATAGCCCGAATTTGTCAGGTGTGTCAGGGCTCTTCATCGGTACAGTGTAAACTCAACTATTGCGTATCGTTTTGCAGTAGCTGATTTTTATCGTCCCGATCCATAGAGCGCATATGTTACCGCGTGTAACCTCGTCGAGTGGCTGTTGTACGCTCCGACCTCGTTTCCGAAGCCGATATAACCCCCATTATACATCGGAGTTGCGTGTGTCGAGAATGCAACGAAAGCACTTTAAGGGGTCCGTCCAGCCGACCGCGTCTCGAGGACCCGCCACCGTCTGTCTAATTCTTTGAATATTAGCGGGATCGGCCGCCCTCGAAAATTCCTTTCACCCCTCTCGGATGTCGCCTCGAGCGTGGCCAGAATACCGGTGGTTGTCCCGCGTGTGGTGTACTACTTTTCTCTATTATTCAATTTTTGTTTTCTAGAGTTCGCGTCGCTTTGTATATATTGTTAGATTCAACTTTACAAAAACGATTACGACGAACACTTGCGGTCATCGATGATGCAGTTTTATATATGCATGAAAAGAATTATTTTGCTGAAATATCTAAAAATTTAGCTACATACAGATCTGAAAACAATTTTGTTGGCCATTAAAATAATTATTTAGGAATCTTAAACGTGATGAGCAATACTGCAAAAGTTTTTATATTCTAATAATTAATTTGATCGTTCTAATTATTTTAATGGACTGATAAAATTATTTTCAAATCTGTATCTATAGTTAAAATTTTAGATACTTTAGCCTTTTCAAAACTGTCTTTTTCGTGTAAAAAAACATGAAAAAATTAAGAATTTTTTATACAAAGCTTCTTTTAGGGAAAAATCGGATTTAAATACAGAAAGAATTAACAATTTTGCTGAAATATCTAAAAATTTAGGTAGCTACAGGTTTAAAATAATTGTATTGGACCGTTAGAATGATTATATGTAAGAGAAATTTAGGCATAATGAGTAATGCTGCAAAACAGACAGTTTTGACATTCTCGCAATCATCGAGAGTGTCTTACATAATTATTTGATAATCCAACAAAATTATTTTCAGATCTGTCTAGCTAAACTTTTAGACGCTTCAGCAAAACCGTTCTTTCTATGACGATCGGAAAAATACTAATATTTTTCCTCTATCTTAACTTGTATAATTTTCAACAAATCCTCGCTGATCATCGATAAGTTTGTCGTAATAGTTTTTATAAAATGGAATCTCACGACATATAAAATCGATTTAATAGTTCTATCCTAATTGAATAAAAACTCTATGTCAAATAAAAAATTAAAAAAGATTAAAACTATTTCGATATATAAAAAAAAACTCCAATTATTGACTTTAATTTTTTATTTTATGCTACTTAAAAAAAAATAAAATATTACATATTTATTCAAAGTTTAAATAAATCCTTGACGACCCCTGAAAATGTAATATACACAGATGTCATTGTTACACATATATTTGCTTGAGACGACTTTTTTTCAGAATGGCTCATCATTAAAGTGAACCGTGTAAATTCATCTTAAGGAGCATTACCGCGAAGGAAAGTAATACTCGCAGCCCTCGCCGTTGTTCGTTGCGTGAGTTTTTACGTACGCTTTGTGGCACGGCCGGTTTTGCGTAGGGGGTGAGAGACCTTATCTAAAAGCCACGAAGAGGCACTAGACGAGGGAAGTACCTCTTTTGCTGCTCCCGTTCGTTAATTCCTTTTCTACCGATAATCCACTCGAAGCTCGTCGAGTTTTCGGCTACGTACGCCGCGCTCTGACTTCGAGAGATCTACAAACAGCCATTTACTTATGCGCGAGCTTACGTAGAATATATGACGAATTATATGTGACGTGGATCTTCTAGATTCGCGCTCTCGTAGGATTTTGATCTTCCGAACCAAATCGATCTCTTCGCGAACTATTGTATTTAACGTCCCTGGTATGTTCTACTTTCGAACGAGAGGTTTGGAAGATTGTTAGGGAATTATTTGCACGTTGGGAAAGGATTCCGAGTAACTTCGAGTGAAACAGCGCGCCGATGCGTCGAAATTTTGAAAAGAATGCTTTAAATGATAGTTATAGGGTTTCAGAAGGGCTATGAGATGAGCTATTTATAATAAGGCCCAAGTTAATTTTTTTCTCATTTGGCCCTGAACTCAAAATCTAAGTAGCTCATCTGATGGCCTTCTCAAACATCCTACAATTTTCATTTGAAACATTTCTTTCAAAAATGCATTGTCCTGAGATATTTTGTACACTGATTGTGAGAAAAAATTGTCTAAATTTAAATAAATATTTATTTGAATACTCTACCAACTAAACATTTACTTGCAATAAATAAGTATTTACTTAATAAAAAGAAGTGATTGTTGAATTATCGTTTTTTGTACCAAATAAATATATTTTTATGATTAATAAATATATAGTTGGTACTATTCGAATGAATATTATTGGAATTTAGGATATTTTTTTCTCAGTGTATCTAAGTCAAAGCCACACGTGTTTTGTACAGAATCCATAAGATGTCAAGATTTGACCATCTAGAATACTTATTTTTAAACGTGATCTTTTGCGACTGGTAATATTAGTTTTTTAACATTATTTTTGCAATTTGAAACCCTTGTGAGAAAAGTGTCTGGTTGAAAATGTACAAATCAGAAGATTCTGATTATATCAATCAATATTCCGATTATTTGAACT